AGGTTGAGTCTTCTAATTCATGGACATGATATAGCTCTATTTATTTTGCCTTTTCAAATACCTCTCAATAAAGTTTTATAATTTTCTCAAAAAAAGAAAAGAAAAGAAAAGAAAAACTATAAGACTACAGGACTGGCAAATTAAAAACTTCAAAAAAAGCAAACACTGGGATATTTCATAAATAATGTTCACTTTAGGAGCACCTGACTGGCTCAATCAGTAGAGCATGTGACTCTAGATCTTGGGATTGAGAGTTCAAGCCCCATGTTTGGTATGGAGATCACTTAAAAATAAAACCTTTAAAAAAATAATATTCACTTTAGAAATTATCTTTTTAATTTTTTAACAGCAGCTTTTTCAGATACAACTCTCATACTATAAAATTCCCCGTTTAAGATATACAATTAATTTTTTTTAGTAAATTCATAGTTGTGCAACCATCACCAATGTTACTATTTTTTAATTTTTTTAAAATAGGCTCCATACCCAATGTGGGGCTTGAACTCATGACCCTGAGATTAAATGTTGTATACTCTACTGACTGAGTCAGACAGGTGCCCCACCAACATATTATTTTTATACCTATTTTTAAATTATTCATTTTATACTTAATGTCATAGGAAACTTGACAAACACAGAAGAAAAAAGTAGTGCCACTTTAGTACAACTATGTTGATTTCCTGAGTCTGATATAGATGGGCTCACCAAATAACCTGGGGAATTTTAAGTTGGTAAGTTTTTTTGTATTTGATGTCTTTTTTTTTTTTTACTTTCTTTTGCCTTTTACATAGTTATAGTCAAGATGTATATAAATTTTGTATCCTGCATTGCCACTTGATCATAAGCATTTTCCACTTGTCTAAACGATGTTCATACTTATGATTTATAATGGCTGCATAACAATATAGCAAATGGATGTATCATAATTTACATAACTGTTTTCTTATTTTAAAGCATCTAGGTTATTTCTAATCATCTAATTTTATGATTAAGACTCTGAATAAAATCTTTACACATATAGGTTTTTCCCAGTTTTGAATTATTTCCTTATGATATATTTCCAGGACACTGAGGGCTTTTGAATCACATTGACAAATGACTTTTCAAATGGCTTATAACTGTAAAATACCAACAAGTATGAAGGAGAGAGCACCAGTTTCACTGCAATCTGGTTAGGATTTAGTAATATTTAAGCATTTAAGATAATGTCATCAGTAAAAAGAAACAAATTTGCATTTATTTTATCAAGATGAACAGAATGGAGACTTTTAAAATTTAGGATAACAAAGAAAGATTTCCTCAAATTTCTTCATCTATGGAAGAAATTTCTAACCATTTTAAATAAATGACCCACTATTCCCCAAGCTCGCAAACCAAAACTCTATTAAAATGCTATTCTTTTTAATAGGGAATTACTTGTTCAAACAGGAGGGGGGGAGAAATAAACAAGATCAACAAATAACAAGCTAAACATATTTCTCAGTTCCAGGAAACTGAAACATTTACTTTGACAGCCACCCTGGGTAACAGAGACATAAATCCAATCCCAGGGTCCACAGAATGTGTGAAGTCTAATAGGAGATTCTCCCCTCAACATATTGTGACCTCAAAGAGCTAAACCATTAAGAGCTGAATCTAGTAGAACATCTACAAGGAATTATAGCTGGGTTTTTACCTCCTGGGTTGCCCAGGAAGCCTTAAGTCAAAAAAGCTGGTTTAAATGCCTGGAGGACTCTGGCTGAAGGATATGCATATCCTTTCTGAAAGAGGGTATCTTCATCATAGGCCTCAAATTATTCCCACAAATATTAGTTTTCAAATGCAATGACCAGTACACAAAGACAACTAGAAACTCAAGGGAACTACACTCTATGCAGAGAGCCAGCAGAAAAAGACAATAGAAACAGACCGATAGACTTCAGATACTGGATTATCATATGGTGATTGAAAACACTTACACTTACTGGATTTAAATCTACGTTGAAGATGCCTGCAAAGAATAAGAAGCTACAAAGTGACGTAAATTGAAAAAGAACTAAATTAACCTTTTAGAAATAAAAGACAGTAATCAAAATTTAAAAATCATTAGATCAATTTAATAGTTCAGTCACAGATGAAAAGAAAATTAATGAAACAATTTGACACTTTACTAGATTTGATGTCTTCTGACATCTTTCTGTTCCATTTTATCTGAATTTTGAAATTCTCAGATGGTTTAGACCCAATAACCTGATTTCACACGTCCTGTGCTGTCTTTTATTCAACATAATTAAATTAAAACCGATAATTGTACCATTTAATGTAACAATGTCAAGGAACATCGTTTTTTTAAAAAAAGCTTTTATTACAAAGCATAGTTGAGGATTCAAATACGTACCACTGACAAATCCCTTAGGTGCTGGTGTTACTAGAAGAAACTAGATGCAACTGACTTCATTAACACCTCCTCTGTGGCTTTTTACCCTTGGGCAGAAAGAGGAATCAGACCAGGAAGAAGACAAGTTTGGTTTTTATTCTGGAGTAGGTAGCCTACTATAACATTTTCCACCGGGAAGGTTTCAAACTAGTGAACTGCCAACTATGAAGTAAACTTAGTCAAATTTACTAAAAGTATAGAATTAATAAAGAGAGTTTATTAGACTTAATAGTATATTTAAAAGGACTCATTGATTTTCACTGGTCACTAGTTTTCACTAGTCTGCAGTGAGGCAAGAAAAATAAGTTCTAAGCATGTTGTCATAAAGTTGACTGATTTAAAAGAATTGACTTTTTAGAGGGTATCTTATTTTTATTTTGCAGGTCAAAATAATTTAAAATGAAGTGATGCTGATAGTAAATGGCAGTTGTCTTTTGTCTTTAACAGCTTGGTGAAAATTTAAAATTGCAGTTCTGGTTCCAAAATTATTTTGAGAATCTGGATTGATCCACAGAGTCCAAAAGACTGGGAACACCACTGATGTCATCAACCCCTTATTTGAGTATCCAACAAATATTCTGAGGGCCTAGGATGTGCTAGGAGAAGGGGGCACAAGTAACAGAAGTAACCGTGCACAAGTAACTGCACTGTGTGCGCCCTGCTTACAGTGAAAAAGGAGCACATTTAATCCAGAATTCTGAGAAGTTAGGTAGTGCTACGTGTTCTGGGAGCAGCGCTGAAGGAAAGCCTGTTTGTTTGGGAATTCAATCTCTTACTGAAAGAAGTGAAGCTGAGCTGTTTTGAAAAGGCACAAGTATTTGCTTGCTGCTGAGGGAAAAGGAATGAATGGAGGAGAAAGCTGTTTAGTCTAGGGAACTTTATAAATTCTTTTTACTTCTATTTTTTAGAGAGAAAGTAGAGAAGGGGCAGAGGGAGAGAATTTTTTAAAAATGTTTATTTATTTATTTTGAGAGAGAATGCAAGCAGCGGAAGGGCAGAGAAAGAGAGAGAGAGAGAATCCCAAGCATGGATGAGGGGTTCCATCCCATGACTGTGAGATCATGACCTGAGCAGATATCAAGAGTCTGATGCTCAACAGACTGAGCCATCCAGGTACCCCAAGGTCACAGCAGTTTTTGTCAGAGGGGACGTTAAGAGATGTCAACATACCTCTGGCTGAGTACCAAGCTTGTATGGGCCAGGCTTCCAGGGGGCTGCACACTTGAAGCTTTCGGGCCACATCTAACCAGGATGTATTTTGCTAAACCCCTACAATAAAAAAAAAAAAAAAAAAAAAAAAAAAAGGTGTTGTGTTTTGTTTTTTGCATCAGTTGCAAAAATGGAAAATCTTGTCAATTTCCAGCTTTTCTTGAAAACTTAAAATATCTGGGGACACGAGGAACCATACTTCCTCAGGGAAACAATGATAGTCACCTCCTATCCATGTATAATAAACCTATAGAAAAGTATACGTGTGTAACTTGATGTTCGCCAATGACATTCCCCACCAACCAGCACCCCGTATCAACATGCGTAACATCATTAGCACCTACGTTGCAGGATTTTTAACCTCAATACCTGGGATTCATGGTCTCATCGCCTCGAAGAGGTGGACACAAAATAAAATGAGCAGCAGGCAAAAGTTTAAGACGGGCATTTCAAAGCGAATGCCCGTGACTACAGGCAAGGGCCTTTGTTCTATAGGGTTTTGATCCTGGCCCCCTTTCCTTACCCCTCGTCTCTTCTCAGGTTCGCTACCCTTATTGGCCTGATAAATCTGAATACCTAGTCATTCCTTTTTGATTGGTTCTTTTCCATTAAGCCAGGGGTGGTCTATGGCCACACCTTGGTTTTAAGGTCTACTACGCAGTTTTAGTCAGGTCTTTTGTCAAATTCCTGAGGGGTACCTGAGGGGGAGTGGGTGGTGTCTGCTACATTCTCAAGAGGAACTTTACTCCCGAGGGAGTTTGCTCCAGGTCGTACATTGCTGGAAGAAATGTTTTAAAATGTCTTTTTCCCCACCCGGGGACCGTCAAGCCTTAGCCTCTTCCTCTTCCGTTCTGCTTACTGAATCCTATCTTTTCCTATCATAGCTCCAAAGTTATACTTATTTAATCCTACTTACAATCTTGTGAGGCAGACTACATTACTATGTCCTTTTAAATACGAGGAAACTGAAGGTAGACAAGTCACCAGGCTAAATATTGAAACTAGCATTTGAAACTGGATCTGCTGTCTGATTCCAAGTCCCATACCCTCCAAAAAAACCAGGTGAACTGGTAAGTTCGCTTTTAACAATATGGAGAGGCTGTTTCCTTCCACTTACTTCCGGGCTCCAGAGCCACGGAAACCACCGGCAACCCCCACGGGGCACCTCAGGCCGCCAGCGCCCGCGCCTCCCCAGAGCAGAACCGAGAGGGCAGTGCACGCCGCTCGTGCTGTGCAGTCTCCACACACTAGAGGACGCTGTCGCAGCTGCAATCTGAGGAGTTCCTCTTTCTGTTGTCGCGATACTCTAGGGGCCGGAAAAACGCAATATCGAAGGTCACGTAGATGGCACGCCTAGCCCCTTACGCCTAAGTTCTCGCGCGAGTTACACTTCCGCCCTTTTGGCTCCCTGAGCAGCGCCATGGCGGTAGGCAAGAACAAGCGCCTTACGAAAGGCGGCAAAAAGGGAGCCAAGAAGAAAGTGTAAGTGGCTTCTGTTTTGGCCCCCAGCTTTTTGGCGTTCTTCTGGTGTCGGCGGGCGGGTTCTGGATGGCGGCGTGTGCCGGATGGCGAGGATGCCAGTTGGATTGCGCGCCGTGCCTGATTGGGAACCTTCGAACGGTGGCCTGGTGGATCTGGGTTTTCTGTGTCGCCGCGGGCAGGTTCCTTTCCTTTAGCCTTGGTGGTCTTGTGCGCACTCCTGTGAGCCAAATTGGCGTCGCTACTCGGGACTGGCGTGTTCGGTATTGCGTGCTCCCTGGCTTTGTAAATTCCACGGGAAAGCGATGCTACTTATATGAGTTGAGGAAGTCATTCTTGTTTGCCCAGGACCGCGCGCCCCTTCCTCTCTCTGGGGCAGGTGGGACCTTGGAGTTCCTAAGAGCTCGCGTGAGTCCCTGAAGATTCTGAGTTACCAGTAGGAGTTTTCATGCACCAGTGAAGTTCAAGAGACCTGCATGTTATTCTGAAGCAGTGTTGCTTATGTAGTGGAAAAACCGATGGTGGGGAGTGTGTATGTTTATGGCATAGCTTTTTCAAGGTGTCCGGTGTGTGTACAATGAAGCAGACTTCGTGGGGAAGAGATAGGTTTGTATGTGCGCCCCTCACCTCACTGAGAACTAGAGTCTTACATACTCCAGTTGCTTACGTGCTAGTTATTAGCCTTTTACAATCCTTAGAATGAGGAATCGGTTTAAAAATAAAAACTG